TAAATAAATAAATAAATAAATAAATTTTAATTAGTTGTATAGCCCTATTTACATGTACAGATCAATAGTGCTTTACACTGAATAAAAATTAAAAACCTTATATATCTAAATAAAAATTTACAATAGTAATGGTAGCTAAAAATACATAAGAATAAATTATTTTAATGTAATATATCTAAGTTAATGATTACAAAAAGCTTCATTAAACAGAAATGTTTTAATAGCTTTTTTAAATTTATCCAAACACTTAATCATTTTAATTTCATGAGGAAGTCTGTTCCATAAGTATGGTGCTGCTGCCTGAAAAGATCGATCACCAAATGTCTTCAGCATCTTACCCTTAGGGGGGCTCAATACAACATAATGCTTGATAAGAAATCGGTGCACCAATGAAAGTTTACCTCAAAATTGAGGTGACACCTGTCAGATGTGTGACCTTACATGAGTCAGGTGTGTCAGTAAAGTAAGTGACCTCTCAAGGATTACTTTGTCAAACACTTGAGACTTACAGCTAATGTATTATAGATCTTTAACCAAGAAACGATTTTCATTTCAATATATTATGTAGAGATAAAAATCATAGATAAGAGAATTTTAAACTGTAGCCTTTGTCTTAAAAAGGTTAATATGGGAGTAAAAGAACTATTCCCCCTAGGCATTGACCATACTCACTTTTAATTCAGGGTGAAAGAAAGCATTGTTAGTCAAGAGTGAATTGCCTTGCCCATGAACACAATCCAGTGACTTAGCAGAGGTTTGAACCTCAACCCCAGGACCTGGAGTCAAGATTGCTAACCATAAGCATTGTTCTGCCAACATACATTTCTAAGCCAGCGAAAAAACTAAGTCTACCAAGGTCAAAATCTATTTCAGATCACGAAAGGTATTTTACTGCTTTGTCTAATAAATTCAAAGTAGCTAGCACTTCAGAAATGGGTAGCTGTAGGAAACACCAGCAACTAGACAAGTCCTTTTTTAAAAAAACTGCATAGGGCCACAGTATCTCACCCATCCATGCAACTGTCCCAAAAAGATGTATGAGAACATAGTTCTTACAGTTTTAGTCCTTCAGACTGAGGGGCTATAGCTCCCTGACTTCCATCAGCAGGCCTCTTCTGTTGTCCATTGCTATTACTAAATATCTTGAGAACTAAGAAATGAAAAGCAAAATAACTAACAATACAACAAAATGAACTGAGTGGAACTTTTAAATCATTGCTGCATTAGATCTTGACATTATACCCAATTCTACATCAAATTGGTGATCTGAAAGCTCTCTTTCAGTTATCTTTTAATTATTAATTGGCATACCTAATAAAAATCAAATAATCATAAAAACACCTTTAGCTTACCAAATATTTGCTGTTGACTCACTGAAAAGTATTGCAGACTTACCACCATCCCAGAGACTTCTGGCTGGCTTCCTCCATCCCTGAGGTTTGGACAAATAGTAACAAGCAGAGGCCAACAAACTACTCAGCTACAATTGAACAGTAAAAAACTGTTAGATCTTCTTTAGACATTCATTTACAAATAAAATATTTTCACTAACTGTTTTCAGAGAACATGAAATCCACTAATCTGAAGGAGTGATAAGGCATCAAGTCCAATCTTATTTCCAAACCCCAAATGCAAAATTACAAGTGGTAAATTGGTACTTACAGATCTGTGATCTACTGACTGAGCATTTTCATCAACTTTTATCTCTGATAAAAACTCCCATTCTTTTCCATTTAAGAGGAAAGCATTTACTTGCTCTTCAATGTGAACTTCTGCTGCTCCTGTCGACAAAACCACATATTAATAAATAGGCAATCACCATGTTTAGACAAATTGCACCAATTCTGAAGTATATCAATCATGAACCTTCATTACTCAGTCTAACAAAAATGTAATCATTTGACCCCTTGGAGTGGTTAACATCCAATTTCTCCTTACAAAATCAGCCCTGATGAGAATAAAGGAAACAATCACCAACTAATAAAAGAAGCTCTTGCACTTTTTCAAGAACCCAATAGACCACTTTCATAAATGGCTGCCGGATTAATATTCTTTTGTTTAAATTTAAATTAGCCTTTCTGGCCTCGTTCTCCAGTACAAAATTCAAAAGAATACATTATCTCAAGCGAGGCCAGAAAGGCTAATTTAAATTTAAACAAAAGAATATTAATCCGGAAGCCATTTTTGAAAGTGGTCAATTCAAGGACTTTCAAGGACTTTTTAGGTAATTTTCAAGGACTTTGGCTCTCAAATTCAAGGACCTTTTGAGTTAAATGTTAAATAAGAGCTAAAAGAAATAAAAAAAACTTTGCTCTTTATCACATGTAAAACATCATAATCGGAGGCGGGATTTGAAAGAAAAGCTTGTTTTCCCAATTTGTGCTAAAAACTTACTCTCTCAATGCCAAAAATAAAAGAAAACTTTGCCTTTGATTCATCTGCACTTATTTTCAAGGACTTTTCAGAAATTTTCAAGGACCTGAGACTGCAGAATTCAAGGGTTTCCAAGTCCTTGAAAACAAAATATTAATTTCAAGGACTTTCAAGGACTTTCAAGAAGTGTGGGAACCCTGTTGATTGCTAAACATATTCTCCTTGTTAGCACCTCAGGAAAGGTACGGAGGAAAGTGTGGAGAATATAAGCATACCGATGTTAGAGTGTGAAAAAAATTAAATGAAGCCTTCATATCAAACTTGTTTTCAAAGATAATATTGTGAGAATTGCCAATACCTGGGGCAGTTTGCCATATGTAAGACTTGACCCTGTTTGAAATCTCATCTGGTCTGTTGGTAAAAGCAAAGATTTTAATTTATTTATAGTTTTTTTTTTTTTTTTTTTTTTTTTTAACCCAGACATTTTGAGTAGGGCTCAAAGGAAAAAATCAAATTAAAACATATCACAAAGCATATACAGATACCTTTTGTTGCCTGACTCATGACAAATGTCCAGAACAAGAAGTTCTTGGTGAATTGCAGCTTTTACTTTCTCAAGTGGACTGTTAACAGCTCCTCTGCCAGCTACAGTGTTGACCATCCCAAGGGCATAGGAAAGAAGTTGAGAAGCCTTGTTATACTCCTAGAGAAAATAAACAACAACAAAATGTAATTCCCTAAAAATTCATCATAACCACTTTCCTGGTATACCTGATACAAAGTTTTACCCACACATGCATCTTCCTTTACCTTCTGGAGTTTGAGTCTCAGATTTTTTCAGATAACTAACACAGTCATAATTCATATATAATGTCTCCCTAAAATAGGCAGCAATGATATATTAATGAATGCAAGTTTAAACAGACAAGTAAGCAGCAGCAGCGAATGGGTTTTCTGGTTACTAGGCAAGTTTCTGCTGGTTTCTTCAGATGCACAACTATTACTTTTATTAACACTTAAAGAAAACTCTGTGGATGATGAAAATTTGAAATCACAAGTACCTGAACAGCAGAACAATGCAAGGCTTTGGAAAATAGGATATGAAGTATGTCTTGTTGCTGAAGACTTTTTATCTCTTCAAGGTGACTCTTGTATAGTGGACAGACAAACTCCTGTAAGACGAGAAGTAAAATACCAAAGTTTTAATAAGATATCACTCAACAAAGGGTAAATACCACGCCTACACTACTGAGTTGTAGATGCATGCGGGAAGTTGATAAGCACGAAAGAAGCATAAGAGCTGCATGAGGTGATAGCAAAGAGCGACTCTAGCTTTTTGAGTGCTTCGCAAACCTCCCAAGTGCATCCATAACTCAGTAGTGTACACTGTAGCGCTTACAATTTGTTTTATAACATAACAGTGATACATTGTGGCAAAAGAGTTTTCTTTTATTTAACAAATCTTATGCGACCAGAAAAAAATAAGCGTGTGCGGAAAACTAGTCTTTGCATTTGCTCACATCAGCAGCGTACATCCATGGGCAAATGGTGGACGCTGAATTGACCAATCAGAGCATGCGCTTTACTTCGGTTCTGTTATAATTTTCTATGTGGAGGACTAATGGACTCTTTATTTGACCTTGGGATTTCATAAAACCTATGCATACTCTTGAGCACAGAGAAGCAAATGAATGAACAACATTTTGATTTGTATTAACTGTAAGAGTAAAACACTGGGGTACCTCTGAATGCTTCCTTCCTTTTTCAAGTTGATGAAGCTCCTCTACAAGGTTGCTGATCTCTCCTGGATCAACTGAATGTCGCAGTTTGTTGCTAATGAAGCCCTTCTTTAACTCTGTGCTCTCCTGTCCTGATGCAGCTGTAATGTTAAAATAATAATAATAATAATAATAATAATAATAATAATAATAAGAAATAGCAGGCCAAACATTTTCCTGTTTGGCCATATCCACCTCAGTCAATAAGCATTTTATGCATAAATGCTTCTTTTTCTATTTCTTCCTTTTTTCCTTCAGCCCACATTTTCTAGGGAAAGGCAGCCTTTGCCTGCCCTGGTCATGCCGGTGCTAAAAATAAATGGCTCTCATGCCATTTAAACTCGAAACTACAACTAACACCCCTACTTGATGATGGAGTCAAGATGACTTCGAAACGTCGTAGTTTTATTCTTCTAATATTTATTATCAAATGTATCTCATGCAGGTATTGATTATATATTGTTTTTCAATAAAAGAATACATCCAGCTGAGTAAGTCATATAATAACAATTACTACTGCAGCAGTAATTGTATTTCAATACCATTATGCATATTAGTTTTTGTTGCTTAAGGTTTACATACTCTTACATTTCTCAAACACATCATATAATCTATTTCAAATTCAGTTCTGTAACTCAGTATGTACTGTCTTGTAATACCAAATTACCATGTAGACTAAATGAGTGTGGTAGATTCATTATCATATGAAATACAATAATTATTATACCCTCTGTGTTATACAGATCAGTGACAAAACCCTGCTCAATAACATCTGGTTTAGTATTGACCAGTTCAATCTGGACATCATCCATTGGTTCTTCCTGTAAACAAATATTTATGAAAAGCACATTATTTTAATATATTTAATTTGTGATTTTATTCCATCCAAAGATCAAATGTACATTCTTTTCTTCTGAATTCATAATAATCAATTATTATCAACTATTCACGAAGACATGGGAGACAGAAGACTCCAGGCATGTTATATTACTGCATTGGCTGACTCATTTGTGCAATCAAATTTCAACCAGCCCCTTCCACATTTTATACATGGGCTGAAAAAACTTGATGGTGTAGATCATCACCAAGTCAATACTTCTATTAAACTCTCCTAATCCCTGAGCCAAGATGCACCAAACTTAGGGCTAATTTTTCCAAGCTGTTTATTTCACAACTACCTCTTCATCCAAAAATATTTTAGCGCCACAGTTCCTAGCAATTTTCCATCCATCCACCTGCTCACAGGTACAACAAATCATTCTGTAAAAGGAGATTACAGTGCAAAAACCATCTTTTAAAATGACAATTATAATAATCTTGACCTTTCATTTACCAATTGCTTTTTGGTATTTTTTCCCTAAAGACATCTTAAGTTTTCTTTCTAAGTATTTGGTTTGAAATTAAGAGTAGGGGTTAATACTGTTGAACCTGATGATGATTTCCACTCCCATTGTGGGAACAACAGTCACTAAAATTGACAACTATCCTTTACATGGTTCTTCTCACAAAACTGATCAGACTTCATGAAAATTCTTTCATACTGTCCTGGGGCGGATCCAGGGGTGGTTCGGGTGGTTTGGTCGAACCCCCTAAATTTTCCCTCAAAATGCTGTAAAATCATGTCTCCGAAGACCTAATTTTCAATCTCCCAGGTGGGCATGCCCTTGGACAATTCTCCGAACCCCCCCCCCCACCTTGACTTAATCCTGGATCCACCCCTGTTGTCTACTTGTTTGCTTACTGGTGGAAGGCTTAAATTTGTAGGAAGAACTTTGCCAGGGAAACCTGATAGTATGTAATCTATGGCTTTCTTCTTTTGTCAGTACACAAGTTTGCAATAAAAATTTGAAAAAAAAAAACATGTCTTTTCTCTCTGGGACAGCAGCCCTGGGGGTTCAGAGTAACCTCGACTACATATATCTTATTAACCAAGCGTGAGGGCCATACTGGGAGAATATTGGCCCAAGGTCTTGATAGTACAGACTGAGCGCAGGGAGGTCTGTACAAGAAAGACCAAGGGCCGATATTATTCTAGTACAGTCCCGAGCAAGCTTGGTTAATAAGAGATTTATTATATGACTGAAGTTCAAAGGGACACAAGTACGGTATCATTCAGGACCATTCGGGACAGTGCCCGGTCCAATACTGAGAGAATATTGACCAGCAGTAGAGCATTTTGATTGGTTGATTTTAGTTATTGGCCCTCTGACTGCCCGAGTCGTGTAATAAATGCACTTATCAACTTACTGAATAAATGACTTGAGGATTTTAAACCTGTCACTATCCTGAACACCTTGAGGAGGGAAGTCATCCTCAATTGGGACAGACTGCAAACAAAGCTACAGAAAAAAAGACAGTAAATGAAAATAAATCATTACTAACTAAATGTACTATTAATAATTATTGTCAAAGTTACCTCCTTCACAATGATATCAGGTAAAGAAAAAAATCTAAGTCACCCAAGAGAAATCAAACCCAAGACCATCAGATTTTGCACACTGATGCTCTACAAAAGAGGCACAAAGAACTCAATGGTGAGCTGACTCAAAGCATTTACTGGGATCATGAGCAGCAATCAACTTTTTGAAGCATGCTGCAAGCATTAAATCCTTTAAGCTTTGGTATCCAAAGATCTGGGCCCCCATTTTATTGTGGAGGACTCAGATTCCTCCTTGTCCCACAGTTGTGACAAAAATAACAGTTATTGTAGTTATACGTCTTTCATAAATAGACAACCAACCACCCCCCTCCATCCAAAAAATAAAAACACCATTTTTCTTCTTTTATTATGAGTAATCTTACTACATATAGAGTAACTAACTCCAAATGTCATCAAATAAACACACCCTTAGTTTTTTAATCTATCTTTTTCACCATTTTGCATTGATCAATTGAAAGTTCAAGCTCAGAAGACTTTATAGACTGTCATTAATTAAAAAGAAACTACCACTTACAGAAAATATGATGTCCAGTTGATTCTGAGTACAGTTGCCTAATGAAAGCCAAAATCCTGGATTTGTTGGTCTTCCCTCCAGAATGTCTCTGATGATGTTACAAACCATGACTTGCCAGTCGAGAGAAATATTTGCAATACTTTCTTCATCTTCACTCATTCTTCGACTATTTGTCCTCAGCTCTGCAACTAGATTCTCTCTATATTCTAAAGGCAGTTCCAGTGCGATGTTGTCTTCCAAAAGAATTGCAACGACATTCTGCATAACAGTAGACAATGTACAAACTAAGTTAGAATAATTATAGTAAGTATATAGTAACTGTATCTAATATTTACATTTGTAACAAGATTGTGCATAGCTAGTTAGCTCAGGCTTTGCACAACAAAAGTTGGTAAGAAATTTCTATCTTTAGGTACCTTTTCCCAAAAATATACCAAAATGTCATATTATTCTTACTAATTACCATCATGATAACAAAAAATCAAAAAGCATGTTGAAATGGAATGCAGTACCTGTTTTGTGCTGTAATTAACATACCAGATACTCCTTCCAAAGAACTTTAATTTGTGATTGTTTAGTAACATGCTGCACTTTCTGTGCTTAGAAATTAACTACAGAATTTAGTGTAAATAGTTTTGTGTCGTTTTCCATTTCGTTCATTTATATTCATTTTGTATTGGTCACTTGTCTACTTGCCGTGTAGTAAGGCTAGGCTATTATAACCCCTTAAGTTTTCATAGGTAAACGTTGTCTCTCTTCTAAAACAGTATCATTTTGCAAATGAAAAATTTATGAAAGTGACAATCCCTGTCAATAAAATTTATTGTGCTATTTGACTTAAGACTGCTTCTATCAAACATCTGATTCAGATTGAACACTGATTGTTAAAAATTGGAATTCATGATCACCTAAGTCAAGTAACTTACTCTGATGAACAAATTGACAATATAGAGGATTAACTTGCATAATGTCATCGAACAATAATCTAATTAAAGGAAGGAATAAATCAGTAATAATGATTACATTGTATCCAGAATGTCTGCATTGTTCAAGTCTCACGGCCAAGGATGGCTTATTCTCTGTAGAAGTGGGAGTGCTCGGAGCTACAGAGGGAATGCCTGTTAAACCACAACAAGCCATGTAGTAGCCATACAACTTCTTCTCGCACACAGTGTAAAATGATGACTGGTCACACTTTAGATAAAAAAAAGAAAAACTTCTAGCAAACTATTTTCTTACCATTAAATTTAAAATTAATTTAATTTATCAAAATAATTAAATAAATTCAAATTTTTCTAAAAATTTTGTTAAAACTGTGATAAGAACATTTTTTTAAAAAAAAAAAAAAACAAAGAAAAAAGTAATCAAAATGGTTTAAAATATCTCATACCAAAGATAAATGTAAACCTTAACAATGACACAAAACAGGTCCCTTCCCCATCAATCAAGCAATTAAAAATATAAATCATTTCTAGTAAATACACAGATTAACATTTGCAAAAGTTCAAAGCGGAATGATGGATGCAGATACAAAATCACAGTTCACCCTCTACATTTCACATTTAAGGCACCAAATTATAATCAAATTATATAATAATTATTATACCAGCTGTGTCACTGTTTGCTTGTTTTATTGTACCAAAATAATATATCTTATGGTCCTCTTCAAGTTGATAGTCATTTTGCACGTTGACATATGTTGACCCAAAATACTGTGTTGATGTAATAGTAGTTACTGTATTAAGTACCTGAGCATTCTTGCAACTTTCAAATAGTTTCATAGCCTGCTGGAACTTTTCCTGGTAGAAGTAGAGAGTTCCTAGATCAAAGGAAACCTAAAACAGAATGGTGGAACCAAAATTATGTGTAATACAAAACATTTTACTGCAATTTCTAAAATGACAAAAAAAATAAAAATTATAGTATCACAAGGTAATAAGTAGAGGTGCTCAAAATCAACATAATATAGGACCATTTATTGGTTATTTCTCTCATGAACTAGTTTTTGTCATTAAGACACTGGTTCAGCCGTTGTGTGTACCTTTGAACCTTTATTTAAGTGGTTCCTTCTGTTCCACTGTTTTGCTTTTAGTATAATAATATCTTAAAATCTAATTTTGATCTTGAACCACAATGAGAAGAACAGAATTCACCACCAAATAAAAATATTTTTGAGTGAAAGTGCCCATACCTGGGCAATAATGTCTTCTTTCCTAATCTTTACATCTTCCATGATCAAACTTGAATAAAGATATTCAACAGCAATGGAGCCATTCTTGTCATCAGAACCATTCTTGTCAACTTCTTTACTTTCAGTCTCTCTACTGTTGGTCACATCAATTTCCATATTCTGTTCTTGATCATCACTGGGTGGTACTCCCCCTTCAGATGCCTTCTCTTGGTCAGGTGGATCAGTTGTTTTGGGTTCAGAGACCAGTGAAGGAGCTGAAGGAAGAACCATGTCCTCAGTTAGTCCCAGAGCTTGCTCAAGTATCTGGAGAGCGAATGGCAGCTGCTCTTCAAGCTTGGGAAAAGACATTTCATCATTATTTTTACAAGAAGACAAAAGAGGACAGTCTAACTCTCCTTTAAAGAGGCACTCAAAACTTCTATGTCCCCTTTCCTCACCCACCCAAAAGATTTTTGCCTTAAAGTGCACCTAAACCCCAAAATTTTTTTTCGCTTAATGCAATAAGCTTATTTTTTGGAGTATTTCTGAGCAAAAATTTTTTAATTTGCTCAAATCTTTAATTTTCTGTGCCCAGTTAAAATACAGAAAATCGGCTGCCATCTTGCCCCACGACCGAGTTTAAAGAGGAATGGCTCTAGCGGGTAATGTGACATCAAATCGAGAACACGAAAGTCTGCATTTCACACATTTTCACTTGTTTGGGAAGGTTGTCGTCGATATTGTCCAAAATATGCCGACTAGGTGTATTGTATGAGGAATGTATGAAGCGCGATACCCTCTTGCAAATTTCGCACGTTGCTACATCCTTCTACAACACACTTAGTCGGCATATTTTCGGACAATATCGACTACAACCTTCCCAAACAAGTGAAAATGTGTGATATGCAGACTTTCGTGTTCTCGATTTGACGTCACATTACCCGCTAGAGCCATTCCTCTTTAAACTCGGTCGTGGGGCGAGATGGCGGCCGATTTTCTGTATTTTGACTGGGCACAGAAAATTGAAGATTTGAGCAAATAAAAAAATTTTTGCACAGAAATACTCCAAAAAATACGCTTATTTCGTTAAGCGAAAAAAAAATTGGGGTTTAGGTGCACTTTAAGGTAAAAAACAAATTAAAAGAGTTCTTACTAATTTGTTTTAAATTTGATCCTAAAAACCATGGATGTATTTAATATCAGACTTAATATGCCACTTTTAGGGCTCAACATTAACGGTAGCCAACTAACCACAGACTGGTAGAAATTCAGTTTTGGCTTGTGGTTTTTTCTTTCCACTATAACCATTTTGGCTAGTAAACAAACTGAAATTGTCATAACATCTACGATGTCACTAGTCACTTGGCTAGTAAGTTGAAAAGTTGGTGTTGAGCCCTGCACTTCTATTGTATTTGATCACTCACCTTTCTAAGAATGCCTTCATTTGGCAAGTTGTCAGCTGCTGTGAGACTGGAAAGTTTGAAAATAAAAATGAGGCGAGTTAAAAAATCAACATAGGGATATTGTTATGATGGGATACCAAATTCTCAAGACTTGCTAACAGACAAATGAATAGGTATCCATTAGGGGAATTATCTTTCAAGTCTATAGAGTCAGACCAGATGAAATGCTGTTTCTGATAACGACAAAATGGACAAAAATCTTAAAAACCAAAGCCACCTGAATGCCATAGGGCCCTGGAGTTTTGTTTCCGCTTGTCAAGTAGACTGTCAAACTGATAATTTGGATAAATCAACAAAGTTGAAATGGTAAATTGGCCACCGTAACGATTACAAAAGCTGACGTTTCGAGCGTTAGTCCTTCATCAGAGCTAATGGGCTAACGCTCGAAACGTCAGCTTTTGTAATCGTTACGGTGGCCAATTTACCATTTCAACTTTGTTGATATATCCAAATTATTTCGTTACTCCCACCAATGCAGCCCCAAACAGTTTCTTTCGAAACTATCAGCCTTTATTCATTTGTCAAACTGATAGTCTTTGTTACTTCATAAATTAAACAACTTACCCATTAGTAGGAGGTTTTTCAGCAGTAGGAAGAAAATGCTGAGACAGAGTCCTGACCAACCTGCAAGGAAAACAGTTATACTTGCTCAGAGGTGAACAAGGAAGAGGTAGGTTGAATGTTTAATACAAACTTAATGGTAATTGTGAAGAACAGCTCCCTGAAAAAACCTGTCAGCCGACAGTAGGCCAACAGTCGCCAACAGACAACCAAAAGTTGGGCCTCAGTCAGCTGAGACAAAACTCATCAGGTCTTATCCATGGGGTAACTCAAATAGCATATGAAAAAACAAATTCTAAATCAAATGGAATTTGTGGTTTTAGCTAATTCACTCTTGGTTCAAAATTTCAAAACCATTTATGCTTGTTGTTATTTTTCTACAGTAACTGAATTAAGAAAAATAGTAATAAAATCATACAAATGGTAATTCCTTATAAAAATTAAAAAAAATTCCTACCATCTGTAATAAATTATCAGAGTCATTGCAGTTTTTTTGTCCAGTTTACGAATATCTGTATCACTTTTAAGCACCTCGGAAAAATTTCACAGAAGTTAACACAATGTTAAAATGTTTATTTATCTTATGCTACTGTAGCTCTCATCCAAAACTAGCAACAAGTCCATAAGTCTTATTAGTCATGACAGACCTCCAGGGCAGTTGTCAGTGGGAGCCAGTCACTGCCCACAGACATCAACAAGCAGTAGGTAACTATCAATTTTTTTCACCGAAAAAGCTGATGCAAGATTGTAAAATTACTGATATGCCATTAATTAAATCTGTGCAGCAGTCATTTCTTAGTTTTCAGTGTAACTGAATCCTTAGTTTACCAATTACAGGTTTAGATGAGTTAATTCCAAGTTTAGGATTTGAATTTAAATTAAGGTTTGTATGAATTACCAGAGCATTGTAAATGAAAAGCTTCCAGTCTTGCATGTAGTTTGACAAAAAAAACACATTGTCCACTTTCAAACTTATTGACAGCCTGGCATAGAACACTAAAAATCATATTATTGCTCTAATTTCATATCTAGTAGTTTTACTTTTGTCTTTAAATCAACTCTCTAACTCCCAAGATCTGCTTGCTATTTCTCACCTCTAGCTGCTACACATTTCCTTGTGAATTAATGACGATAATTTGGTATTAGATCAAAACAACTTCAACCTGATAACTTCAAGTCTTCTCATCACCTGTTTGCTATTAATATAATATATATTTAGCTTTGCCTAATCATCTCAGGCAGGGAGACCACCACAGCTTTAGCCAATTACAGTGGATCCTGTGTGAACAATGACAAGGCCACACCCTTCCCCCTCCCCTCAATTCCCAGTAAACAGGCCAGACCACATCACAGTAATATCATGGGTGGGTTCTTTAATTAACGTTCCCTGCCTGACCAAATTAACTGGATAATGTATGGATTTTATAGAGACGATTTACATGTTAATCACTTGTGGGTGTAAAAGGGTTCTAATAACTAACTTACCTCATCTATTCCTGGAGTCCTCTTTGTAAGTTCACCCAACAAAATGCTTTGCCATTGAAGAGAAAGACTACAGGATAAATTAAGAGTCAGTTAAGAGGGCCTCAATGGTGCTAACCAAAAGCCGTGAAATGGCCAAAACATTTAGCAGTTAGGCATAAAAACTGACAAATTTTAACCATTAGTTGTAAAAAAAGTTAACTGTTAAAAATTTCAGTTGACAACAATGGAATGGTATTAACCATTTGCCACAAAATGGCCAAAATTTTAATTGTTAGCTTTAAGAGCCATGTCCCCATAGGGACCCTAATTTAAGGTCACAATTATAGGTGAAAATAACTTATAGGAAAAGAACTCATAAATTTGTAACACTACAGAGATAGGCTCATCACAATTGATATTTGTCTTACTTTTCTTCCAAAATTTCCAGATTCCACTGCAAATGTGTACCAACCATTAGAGCTAAGTAGCGGATACGTTGTACTGGTTTGTTTTTAGTTGGAGGAGTTTCAGAAGCAGCACCCTTATAAACATAAACACAATGCTTTTTCAACCTTTCTACCCTCTAGTTAAGGCATCTTGGTAATGAGGACAAGTTAACCTCATCATACACACTTGTTTTGAAACAATTAAAATTTCCAACTCTACCCTTTACTAAAACTCAAGTGTCAGAGAGAGAGAGATCTGTAGAGTAGCAGGCCAATGTACACAACACAAGAAAATAAAGCTAATTCCAAATTTCCTTGCAACAACAGCAGATGAGATTTCATTATCCTTCGTCTTACTATTTTGTAATCACATCAGAGAAAGCAAAAGGATCCCAAAAAATTTGTTTTCTCGAAAACATTTCAAGAGACAGTTTGACATTGAGTTTTTCAAAAAATGGGGTGTATTTCATTTATCCAACAAATAATTAATCAAATGGACTTGATCTCCAGGTCAAGAGGTCCGGGTTCAAGATGTTGACCTGGGCAAGTCACCATATTGTGTTCTTGGGTAGTCTTCTAATAACCCACCCAACACCTCTCTCTACCCAGCACGAGTATAGATGCATGCTGGAAAATTGTCAGGGAAGCCTGACAAAATTAAAGGATGTACCCTGTGATGAACTAGCATTCCATCCAAGGGGGGAGGGGATGGGAAGAGATGGGGGTGGCACAGACTGAAAGGCCACTTTGCACAAGTATAAAAATTAATTCATAGCTATCTCAGACCTGGATAGATTACTTACCACATTGTTGTTGACCAAACCAGAGTGTTCCAGAAATTGAACAATAAGTTGTGTGGCTGAAGGTTCTGGAAACATAAAATTCATTTATTAGTTGTTAGTCAGGTAAGCATCCCATCCTATAAAAACAGAGCAAAAAGATGCCACTAAACTTCCAAAAAAGAAATGAAATTACTCCATCCCCATCCTTGCACACTCTCTCCTTGCCACCCCACTTAGCTTCCGCCTTGGGTTTTCCCTGCAAATGCATGCTTTCAGGTTGACTTGACTTCTCGCACATTATTTCCAATTTTTGACGAGTGAGAAGAAAATTTTCGCGATTCTCTCACCAGGAAGTTCTTCATTTTATACCCTGTAAATTATAGAGCCAACGTTCTTCCCATAATTCTTTCGCAAAATTGGAATTGTTGCAGACAAATTTTAAGAAGAAAATGGTGAACGCTACAAACCTGCTGACACTTCCTCTAAGTGATTCTTCAACAAATCTCCAGTTTTATCAAACAAGAACTCGAACCAAGAAATGGTTGTTTTCGAAGCACGCTTCGTGCTGTTCGATGTCGCCATACTGTTTTCGCCCGCGTAATATTTTAGTATGAACAGCAGCTTTATCAATGAAAATTTCCTATGTTGTATACAGTTTCACTGAAAATTACCGAGAGTCTTCTCAGATGACGTCACTCTTTCCCACACTTCTTTGAAGAAAACACTTTCATCCTGCGCAGCCATATTGCTTTCAGCTGACAGACAAGTGACCTTAAATTAAATCCCGGCCATCCTAGGCCATCCTTGTATAGTTTCACCTATATCTCCTCTTTCCAGCAATGTCTTCGGGAACTCCTTACCTTGGCACTAAAATAAGCTTAATTTCTAAGTCGGAAATTAGATATGAGGGAATTTTGTACTCTATTGACACCAAGGAGTCTGTCGTGACGTTAGCACAGGGTTAGTTTTTCTTGTGTTTTTTTGGTTTTGTTCCGTAAGTTGCAAGTTTTTTCTTTAACGTGTTCTTCCCTTTGCTTTGTTTGCAGTGCGTTCGTTTGGAACGGAAGACCGAGAGGCGCCCAAAAAAGTTCCTCCTAGGGACGAAGTTTACGAGTACATCGTTTTTCGAGGACAAGACATCAAAGACCTAACTGTTATAAGTGCTGAGTCGCATTTATCTCAGGACCCAGCTATTGTCCAGGTATGCCATGCAGAAAGCCGGTGTAATGCGTAGTTTGTAGCGAAGTCTCCGTTTCAAATCAAGTGACGGAAATCAGTTGACAACAACAATGCATTCCACTTGCAGTTCCGGCTTGTGAAATACAATAAAACTAATGCGTTAGTCAGTGGTTTTATATCGTACTTAAATCATAAACTTTTTCATCGATTTAACGGATTGAGCTTGATATGCCTGTATAAGTCCTCCCACAAACGCCATATTTACACCGTACGAGTAAAAATTAAATATAATTACGTGACAGAAATTTAGTGTTGAAAAAAATATTAGGAACTTATGCTCGCCTTAATGATTCGATCGATCGAATTTAATGTTATGTAGGCACTGCGTCAACGAACGAGTTCAAGCAACAGAACAGTCAAGCTGTACCTAGTCATATCGAAAGCGGAATATTTAGCAAACGAAATAAGATGTAGTGTTTACTAAGCTAAGGAATATGGATATGAACGTAAACAGGATAGGCGAGTGGAGTTCAATCGTGGGAGTTGAAAACAAAATTGAATGAGTCATTGTAAAACAAACATTAGTTAAAGGTTTTGGTAAGTAAAAACAAAGGTAGAAATTAAGTCAGCTAACAAACCAAATTTTTCTCATTTGATGGGAGTGAATCCCTGTTTTTGTGGCACAAGGTGACTACAAATACCCTCTGGGTGAGTTGCTTCAATATATAACCACTCATTCCATTTTTACATTTTCCAGTGATTTACATGTTTATGAGAGTGTTTACTTTCTAATAACCATTTTGATTTTTTTCTTAGTCTGGTAATTCAAGACTTCCAACTCCCGGCTATTCTCATTTCCCTCCTCCTGTATCATTCCCATCTCACCCAACCACGTATGGTCCATTTGGCACACCATATGGTGGTTACACACAGCAACACAGACCAATGCCAGGCCAATTCCCGCAACATCCATCAATGATGCCAGCTGGTCCAATGATGCCTCCAAGGATACCCACCCCACCAACAGTTCAACATGTGCCTTTGTCTCGTGGTCATTCACCATCTCCAGAAACTGTGACACCTGTAGCATCCACCTCCAAAACAGAGGACAACAAGGTGGGTACGGCTCATGATAAAAGCACAGCTCAGCATGGAGCTCAAACAGTTCAGCCAAAGAAGAAACCAAATTCTAGACCATCGTCCAGGAGAGGCTCCCAAGACAAAACAGCTGCACCACAAGAGAAGAAGAAACAAGAGGTTAATGATAAGGAAACTTCTAACAAAGACCCTCCAGAAGAAACTCAGTCCAATGAACCTCAGAAACAGAGACAAGGTATGGGAAACATAATATTTTAATGATTATACAATCAAACTTGCCTGCACTGAAGTTACTAATGACAATGCTTTCATTTAGCTGGAATCATTTCATATTTGACTTAAAGACCCTATTGTTCACCCCACTAAGTGAACTGTGGTTTCACTGAATGATCTCTTATTGAATGTGTTATATGTTAATCTCTTTTTATGGATTTTTGGTCCTCTCCAAAACTGAATTGTTGATTGAGTGCAGATTCTTGTGATTCAACAAGAGTATTGTAGGGTTCACCGAAGGTAAATTTGCAATCAGTCAAATTTGAGAGTTGAGTGAAACTTTTAAAAGGTTATAAGTGACTAATTTTTACTGAAATAAAATTAGAGTCATCAAACTTAAAAAAAAAAAGTAAAGGAAGCAGAAAAATACTAAATGTTAAAAATTGTGTAATGCAGAATTCTGTTCACCACCTGGCTTGTCTTGAAGTAAGCTATGAGGTCAGTAATCATTTCTGGAATTTACTGAAAGATGGAGAAAGGCACAAATTTTTACAAGAGAAAACAGTTGAGCAACAATGCTTTTGTACCAAATGTTACACACTTCTATTGTAGACCTTAAAAACTACCTTTAAAAACAAACAATTTAATCCCTGCTAGAACTGTTTGGAAGCTACAACTACACCATCCTCGGAGACCCAGGGGCTGTGAGTCGATTTCAAGTTAAGGGCAGAAGAGCCCCTGAGGACATTGTCTTACAAGACTAGTTCCAAACGGTGACAGTGCAA